CTAATTAAGCCCCCTCCCCTAATTAACCCCCTCAATTAACCCCCTCCCCTAATTAACCCCGCTAATTAATGACCCAAAATCGGGGTTTTTCACCCCAAAAAAAAAACCACGCGGGGAGGGGGAGGGGCAGCAGCGTTTATTGAGGGTGGGGGAGGGGAAGGAGCCAGGACCCGCCCCCGAAATTAATAAAGATGTGATTAATTAATTCATTCGTTAATTGCTGTGGGTTTGGTGCCAAAATTTCCCCAAATTTCTCCCAAAATTCCCCCCAAAATAACAGAAAAAAGGAAAAAAAATTCCAGAAAAAACCCTGGAATTAAATCCAGGGGAAAAAAATTTAAATGCCTCCTAAAAATCCCTAAAATTCAGGAAAAAAACCCAAAATAAATTAAAAAATAACCCACCAAAAATCCAGGAAATTCCCCAAAAAATCCTGAAAAGATCCGGAAAAATTTCCCCAAAGAAATCCCCCAAAATCGAAATAAATAAGTTTTTTGAAATCCCCAAAAATGCCATTAAATCCCCAAGAAATGCCAAAAAATCGAAATAAAATCCAGAAAAAATGCCCAAAAAAATAATAAAAAAATCCGGAAAAAAAACCCCCAAAATTCAGGAAAAAGTGTCCAAAAATGTAATTTAAAAATCCCAAAATATCGCCCAAATATCCCCAAAAACAAAATTAAAAATTAAAAAAAAAAAATCGCCAAAAATTGCAGAAAAAAAAAATCCCAAAAATCCCGAAAAAATCCTGAAAAATCTCAAAAAACTCCCCCCAAAAATTCACGTAAAAAATCCCAAGAAAATTCCAAAAATAATGAAAAAAATCCCTACTATTCCCTAAAAAAATCCCAAAAAATAAAAAAAACCCCAAAAAATCCCCAAAAATTCAAAAAAATCCCGGAAAAAAAAAATCCCAAAAAACCCCACAAAAAATCTCAAAAAATTCCCCCCTAAAATTCCCAAGAACATTTCTGAAGGCCTATTAAACTTTTATGACACCACACTGGATTTAGCAGTTTTCACACTTCAGCACCAAACCAATACAGAACAATGTCCCTGCTCGCCCCTCCCCCGCCCTGTCGGGCATGCGCAGTGTGACGAGCGCCGAGCCCAGCGCGGCTCGGGGGGGACCCCCGGGACCCCCGGGCAGCTGCAGCAGCAACGTGGCGACCGCGGCCACGCCGTCCTCGGTGGGCTCCAGTGTCACCGGCGCCGCCCCCAGACCCAATTTCGGGGGGCCCAGCCCCGACTTCGGGGGGCCCGAGCTCAATTTCGGGGCTCCCGAGGTCAATTTTGGGGGTCCCGTTAAGGTTTTAGGGGGGTTTGGGGGGGCGAAATGCGGATTTTGGGGGTCCGGAGGTGACGTTTGGTGGCCCAAGCGGGGATTTTGGGGGTCCAGAGGTGAAGTTTTGGGGTCCAAAGGTGACGTTTGGTGGCCAAAATGACGATTTTGGGGGTCCAAAGGTGACGTTTGGTGGCCCAAACGAGGATTTTGGGGGTCCAAAGGGGAATTTTGGGGGTCCCGGAGAGGATTTTGGGGGTTCCAAGGTGGGGGTTGGGAATTTGGGCCACCCGAGGGAGGATTTTGGTGGCCCACGAGGGGATTTTGGGGCTCCGCCGGGGAATTTCGGCCGCTCGGCTGCGAATTTTGGTGGCCCAGCTCCAAATCTTGGTGGCCGAGCCTCAAATTTTGCTGGCCCAACCCCAAATTTCTCTCTGCTGACCCCAAATCCTGGTAGCCCACCGCCCTATTTTGCTTGCCCGCCCCCAAATTCCTCTCTCCAACCCCCAAATTCTGGTTGCCCGCCCCCAAATCCTGGTAGCCCAACCCCTTGTTTTGCTTGCCCAACCCCAAATTCCTCTCCCCACCCCCAGAATTCTGGTAGCCACCTCCAGAATTTTGATAACCACCCCCAGAATTTTGGTAGCCACCTCCAGAATTCTGGTAGCCACCTCCAGAACTTTGGTAGCCACCTCCAGAATTCTGGTAGCCAACCCCGGTATTTTGGTAGCCACCTCCAGAATTCTGGTAGCCACCTCCAGAACTTTGGTAGCCACCCCCAGAATTTTGATAACCACCCCCAGGATTTTGGTAGCAAACCCCAGAATTCTGGTAGCCAACCCCGGTATTTTGGTAGCCACCTCCAGAATTCTGGTAGCCGCCCCCGGTATTTTGGTAGCCAACCCCAGAATTCTGGTAGCCGCCCCCAGGGTTTTGGTAGCCAACCCCAGGGTTTTGGTAGCCGCCCCCAGGGTTTTGGTAGGGTCATCGGATTGACCAGTATGACCAGAGTGACCAGTATGGCCACTGGAGTGGGCCTGGGGGCTACCGAAAGCTCGGGGGTCATCAGATTGACCAGTGTGACCAGTAAAACCAGTGTGACCAGTATGACCAGTTTGGCCACTGGACTGGGTCTGGGGGCTACCGAAAGCTCGGGGGTCATTGGAGTGACCAGTGTGACCAGTAAAACCAGTGTGACCAGTAAAACCAGTCTGGCCACTGGAGTGGGCCTGGGGGCTACCGAAAGGTCTGGGGTCATCGGATTGACCAGTGTGACCAGAGTGACCAGTTTGGCCACTGGAGTGGGCCTGGGGGCTACTGAAAGCTCTGGGGTCACCAGCTTGACCAGTAAAACCAGTTTGGCCACCGGGGTTGGCTCCTGGACCACCAAAAGCTCCGGGGTCACCAGTTTGGCCACCGAAATCCCCTCTGGGACCTCCAGGGCCACCAGTGCGCCCAGTTTGGCCACTGGGAGCGGCTCCGGCACCTCCAGAACTTCTGGGGTCACCGGTGAAACCAGTAAGGCCGGTTTGACCAGTGGGACCAGCCCCAGGGCCACCAAAGGTGCCACCACCAGGGCCACCAAAGGTGCCACCACCGGGGCCACCAGTCCAGGAGGTCCCAAAAGTGCCACCGAAGGTCCCAGAGGTGTCACCGGCGGTTCCTGAAGTTCTCAAGGTGCCACCACCGGTGCCACCGGTCCCAAAAGTGCCAGAACTGGTCCCAAAAGTGTCACCAGCACCGGTGCCAAAGGTCCCAGAGCCAGTCCAGGAAGTCCCCAAAGTGCCACCTCCGGTCCCAAAGGTGTCACCACCGGTCCCGAAGGTCCTCAAGGTGTCACCACCAGTTCCTGAGGTCCTGAAGGTGCCACCACCGGTCCCAAAGGTGCCACCACCAGTTCCTCCAGCCCCAAAGCTCCCAGAACCGGTCCAAGAAGTCCCAAAGGTGCCACCACCGGTCCCAAAGTTGTCACCACCGGCTCCTCCGACCCCAAAGCTCCCAGAGCCAGCCCCGAAGCTCCTCAAGGTGCCACCAGCCGTCCCAAAGGTGTCACCAGCGCTCGCCGAAGCCCTGAAGGTGCCACCGCCCCCCGCCCCGAATGTCCCCGAGGTGCCACCGCCCCCCGCCCCGCCGGGCGCCTGCACCCGCACCCGGTGCCAGCCCGTGCCCGGCTCCACGTCCACGGCGAAGGTGTCGTAGGAGGTGGCCACGTAGAGGTCCACGGCGCCGAAGGTGACATCCAGCGTGACCCGGATGTCCACGTTGGTGAACTTGGGCTGCACGGCGAAGGGCACGGAGCGGCCGGGCGGCAGCGGGCGGCGCTGCGGCGGCGGGAAGCAGTGGCTCTGCGACGCCGCGTCCAGGCAGTACTCCTGCTCCACCGCCAGCAGCCGGTAGCACTGCTGCCCGCCCACCGGGTGGCCCTGGAAGGAGTCGCGGCACTTGGAGCACTGCGGGGACATCAAGGGACATCGAGGGTGGCGTGGTCAGGGCCACTGAGGTCACTGAGGTCATTGAGAGTGGAATAAAAGAGGTTCTGGTGGCCCTAGAACGCTGAGGAACGTGGTGGGTCCCATCCCCACGTCCCCACCAGAACCCCCTGGAGAAGGTTCTGGCACCTGGGGACACTTAGGGGACATGGAGGGACACCAAGATGGTGTGGTCAGGGTCACTGAGGGCACTGAGGTCACTGGTGTGGAGCTCAGAGCACCCTGGTGGCCCTAGAACGCTGAGGAACGTGGTGGGTCCCATCCCCACGTCCCCACCAGAACCCTCTGGAGAAGGTTCTGGAATGGATTCTGAATTAGGCACACCAAAGATGGCGTGGTCAGGGTCACTGAGGTCACTGGTGTTAAGGTCAGAGCGCCCAGGTGGCCCCAGAACATCAAGGAACATGGTGGGTCCCATCCCCACGTCCCCACCAGAACCCCCTGGAGAAGGTTCTGGAATGGATTCTGAATTAGGCACACCAAAGATGGCGTGGTCAGGGTCACTGAGGCCATTGAGGTTGGAAGGGAAGAGGTTCTGGAGGCACCAGAACGCTGAGGTCCCATCCCCACGTCCCCACCAGAACCCCCTGGAGAAGGTTCTGGCACCTGGGGACACTTAGGGGACACCAAAGATGGCGTGGTTAGGGGCACTGAGGTCACTGAGGTCGTTGGTGTGGAGCTCAGAGCACCCAGGTGGCCCCAGGACATCGAGGAACGTGGTGGGTCCCATCCCCACGTCCCCACCAGCACCCTCTGGAGAAGGTTCTGGAATGGATTCTGGATTGGGGACACCAAAGATGTCACCCTGGAGGTCACTGAGGCCATTGGTGTGGAGCTCAGAGCGCCCTGGTGTATTTTAGGCACTGCCAGCTGCCCCCAGGTGTGCCCAGGTGTATTTTTGGGTGCCCCCAGGTGTATTTTGGGTGTCCTCAGGTGTATTTTGGGGTGCCCCCAGGTGTATTTTGGGTGTCCTCAGGTGTATTTCCAGCTCCCCCAGGTGTATTTTGGGTGTCCTCAGGTGTATTTCCAGCTCCCCCAGGTGTATTTTGGGCGTCCCCAGGTGTATTTTGGGTGTCCTCAGGTGTATTTCAGGCTACCCCAGGTGTCCCCAGGTGTATTTCCGGCACCCCAGGTGTATTTTTGGGTGTCCCCAGGTGTATTTCTGGTGCCCCCAGGTGTGCCCAGGTGTATTTTTGGGTGCCCCCAGGTGTATTTTGGGTGTCCTCAGGTGTATTTCCAGCTCCCCCAGGTGTATTTCCGTCACCCCAGGTGTATTTTTGGGTGTCCCCAGGTGTATTTCTGGCTCCCCCAGGTGTGCCCAGGGTGTATTTCCGTCTCCCCCAGGTGTGCCCAGGTGTCCCCAGGTGCATTTCGGGCCCCCCAGGTGTCCCCAGGTGTATTTCGGGCCCCCCAGGTGTATTTCGGGTGTGCCCGGGTGTGCCCAGTTGTATTTCCGGCCCCCCCAGGTGTATTCAGTTGTATTTCCGGCCCCCCCAGGTGTATTTCGGGTGTGCCCAGGTGTCCCCAGGTGTATTTCGGGTGTGCCCGGGTGTGCCCAGGTGTATTTCGGGTGTGCCCGGGTGTGCCCAGTTGTATTTCCGGCCCCCCCAGGTGTATTTCGGGTGTGCCCAGGTGTCCCCAGGTGTATTTCGGGTGTGCCCGGGTGGGCCCAGTTGCATTTCCGGCCCCCCCAGGGGTATTCTGGGTGTGCCCAGGTGTATTTCGGGGGTCCCCAGGTGTATTTCCGTCTCCCCCAGGTGTATTTCTGGCCCCCCCAGGTGTCCCCAGGTGTATTTCGGGCCCCCCCAGGTGTATTCTGGGTGTGCCCAGGTGTATTTCGGGTGTGCCCGGGTGTCCCCAGGTGTATTTCGGGTGTCCCCAGGTGTGCCCAGGTGTCCCCAGGTATATTTCCGGCCCCCCCGGGTGTGCCCAGGTGTCCCCAGGTGTGCCCAGGTGTATTTCGGGTGTGCCCAGGTGTGCCCAGGCGCGCCGGGCGCGGTACCTGGTGCCGGTGGCAGTCGCGCCGCTCGGGGCAGGCGCCGCTCTCGGTGTTGTTCTGGCAGGGGCAGCCGGTGCCGTCCAGCTCGTTGCAGGTGTCGGCGTGCCCGTTGCACTGGCACCTGCGGGCAGGTGAGCGCGCCTCAGACGCGCCCGGCCCCTCCCCCGCTCTTCCCGCATTTCTCCCAAATTTTTCCCAATTTTTTCTCAATTTTTTCATCATTTTTCCCAAATTTTTCCAGGACATCGAGGAACGTGGTGGGTCCCATCCCCACGTCCCCACCAGCACCCTCTGGAGAAGGTTCTGGAATGGATTCTGGATTGGGGACACCAAAGATGTCACCCTGGAGGTCACTGAGGCCATTGGTGTGGAGCTCAGAGCGCCCTGGTGTATTTTAGGCACTGCCAGCTGCCCCCAGGTGTGCCCAGGTGTATTTTTGGGTGCCCCCAGGTGTATTTTGGGTGTCCTCAGGTGTATTTTGGGGTGCCCCCAGGTGTATTTTGGGTGTCCTCAGGTGTATTTCCAGCTCCCCCAGGTGTATTTTGGGTGTCCTCAGGTGTATTTCCAGCTCCCCCAGGTGTATTTTGGGCGTCCCCAGGTGTATTTTGGGCGTCCCCAGGTGTATTTCTGGCTCCCCCAGGTGTGCCCAGGTGTATTTTTGGGTGCCCCCAGGTGTATTTTGGGTGTCCTCAGGTGTATTTCAGGCTACCCCAGGTGTCCCCAGGTGTATTTCCGGCACCCCAGGTGTATTTTTGGGTGTCCCCAGGTGTATTTCTGGCTCCCCCAGGTGTGCCCAGGTGTATTTTGGGTGTGCCCAGGTGTATTTCGGCCCCCCCCAGGTGCCCCCAGGTGTATTTCCAGTTCCCCCAGGTGTATTTCGGCCCCCCCGGGTGTGCCCAGGTGTATTTCGGGTGTCCCCAGGTGTATTTCCGTCTCCCCCAGGTGTATTTCTGGCCCCCCCAGGTGTCCCCAGGTGTATTTCGGGCCCCCCAGGTGTATTTCGGGTGTGCCCGGGTGTGCCCAGTTGTATTTCCGGCCCCCCCAGGTGTATTCTGGGTGTGCCCAGGTGTATTTCGGGTGCGCCCAGGTGTGCCCAGGTGTATTTCGGGTGTCCCCAGGTGTATTTCCGTCTCCCCCAGGTGTATTTCTGGCCCCCCCAGGTGTCCCCAGGTGTATTTCGGGCCCCCCCAGGTGTATTCTGGGTGTGCCCAGGTGTATTTCGGGTGTGCCCGGGTGTCCCCAGGTGTATTTCGGGTGTCCCCAGGTGTGCCCAGGTGTCCCCAGGTATATTTCCGGCCCCCCCGGGTGTGCCCAGGTGTCCCCAGGTGTGCCCAGGTGTATTTCGGGTGTCCCCAGGTGTGCCCAGGTGTCCCCAGGTGCATTTCGGGCCCCCCAGGTGTCCCCAGGTGTATTTCGGGCCCCCCCAGGTGTATTCTGGGTGTGCCCAGGTGTATTTCGGGTGTCCCCAGGTGTATTTCCGTCTCCCCCAGGTGTATTTCTGGCCCCCCCAGGTGTCCCCAGGTGTATTTCGGGCCCCCCCAGGTGTATTCTGGGTGTGCCCAGGTGTATTTCGGGTGTCCCCAGGTGTATTTCCGTCTCCCCCAGGTGTATTTCTGGCCCCCCCAGGTGTCCCCAGGTGTATTTCGGGCCCCCCCAGGTGTATTCTGGGTGTGCCCAGGTGTATTTCGGGTGTGCCCAGGTGTGCCCAGGCGCGCCGGGCGCGGTACCTGGTGCCGGTGGCAGTCGCGCCGCTCGGGGCAGGCGCCGCTCTCGGTGTTGTTCTGGCAGGGGCAGCCGGTGCCGTCCAGCTCGTTGCAGGTGTCGGCGTGCCCGTTGCACTGGCACCTGCGGGCAGGTGAGCGCGCCTCAGACGCGCCCGGCCCCTCCCCCGCTCTTCCCGCATTTCTCCCAAATTTTTCCCAATTTTTTCTCAATTTTTTCATCATTTTTCCCAAATTTTTCTCAATTTTTTCATCATTTTTCCCAATTTTTTCTCATGTCCCAGGTGTCCCTCCCAGGTGTCCCAGGTGTCTCACCTGTCCCAGGTGTCCCTCCCAGGTGTCCCAGGTGTCTCACCTGTCCCAGGTGTCCCTCCCAGGTGTCCCAGGTGTCTCACCTGTCCCAGGTGTCCCTCCCAGGTGTCCCAGGTGTCTCACCTGTCCCAGGTGTCCCTCCCAGGTGTCCCAGGTGTCTCACCTGTCCCAGGTGTCCCTCCCAGGTGTCCCAGGTGTCTCACCTGTCCCAGGTGTCCCTCCCAGGTGTCCCAGGTGTCTCACCTGTCCCAGGTGTCCCTCCCAGGTGTCCCAGGTGTCTCACCTGTCCCAGGTGTCCCTCCCAGGTGTCCCAGGTGTCTCACCTGTCCCAGGTGTCCCTCCCAGGTGTCCCAGGTGTCTCACCTGTCCCAGGTGTCCCTCCCAGGTGTCCCAGGTGTCTCACCTGTCCCAGGTGTCCCTCCCAGGTGTCCCAGGTGTCTCACCTGTCCCAGGTGTCCCTCCCAGGTGTCCCAGGTGTCTCACCTGTCCCAGGTGTCCCTCCCAGGTGTCCCAGGTGTCTCACCTGTCCCAGGTGTCCCTCCCAGGTGTCCCAGGTGTCTCACCTGTCCCAGGTGTCCCTCCCAGGTGTCCCAGGTGTCTCACCTGTCCCAGGTGTCCCTCCCAGGTGTCCCAGGTGTCTCACCTGTCCCAGGTGTCCCTCCCAGGTGTCCCAGGTGTCTCACCTGTCCCAGGTGTCCCTCCCAGGTGTCCCAGGTGTCTCACCTGTCCCAGGTGTCCCTCCCAGGTGTCCCAGGTGTCTCACCTGTCCCAGGTGTCCCTCCCAGGTGTCCCAGGTGTCTCACCTGTCCCAGGTGTCCCTCCCAGGTGTCCCAGGTGTCTCACCTGTCCCAGGTGTCCCAGGTGTCTCACCTGGTGCAGGTGCCGTCCAGCAGGAAGAACCCCGCCCGGCAGGTGTCACACCTGTCCCAGGTGTCTCACCTGTCCCCTCCCAGGTGTCCCAGGTGTCTCACCTGGTGCAGGTGCCGTCCAGCAGGAAGAACCCCGCCCGGCAGGTGTCACACCTGTCCCAGGTGTCTCACCTGTCCCTCCCAGGTGTCTCACCTGGTGCAGGTGCCGTCCAGCAGGAAGAACCCCGCCCGGCAGGTGTCACACCTGTCCCCCACGCTGTTGTTCTGGCAGTTCACGCACACGGCCTGCGCCTCGCTGGGGCCCTCCGACACCCAGGTGTGGATCTGCACAGGTGAGCACAGGTGAGCGCCCAGGTGTGCCCAGGTGAGCACAGGTGTGCCCAGGTGAGTGCCCAGGTGAGCCCAGGTGTGTCTGCCCCTCCCCAGGTGTGCCCCCAGTGCTCTCAGGTGTGCCCAGGTGAGTTCCTGCTCCCTCCCAGGTGCCCCCAGGTGTGTCCCCGCTCCCCAGGTGTCTCCAGGTGAGTCCCCAGCAGTCCTCAGGTGAGTCCCCAGGTGTGGCCCCAGGTGAGGCCCCAGGTATTCCCAGGTGAGTCCCCAGCTCCCCCAGGTGTGTCCCCACTCCCCAAGTGAGGCCCCAGGTATTCCCAGGTGTGTCCCCAGGTGAGTCCCCAGTAGTCCCCAGGTGTCCCCAGGTGCATCCCCACTCCCCAGGTGTGCCCAGGTGTATCCCCACTCCCCAGGTGTGCCCCCAGGTATCCCCAGGTGTGTCCCCACTCCCCAAGTGAGTCCCCAGGTATCCCCAGGTGTCTCCCGCAGTCCCCAGGTATCCCCACAGGTGCCGCCGGCCAGCGCCGAGCCCACGAACAGCGGGCGGCAGCGCTGGCACTGCGGGCCCTGCACAGGTAAGGACAGGTGAGAATAAGTGAGTTACAGGTGTGTTACAGCTGTGTACAGGTGTGCTACAGGTGTGTACAGATGTGTTACAGGTGAGCAGAGGTGAGCTCAGGTGTGTTACAGGTGAGCACAGTGTGTTACAGGTGTGTACAGGTGTGTTACAGGTGAGCACAGTGTGTTACAGGTGTGTACAGGTGTGTTACAGGTGAGCACAAAAAACCCCCCAGAACCCATGGACAGGTGAGCTCAGGTGAGCTCAGAACTCCTCAAAAAATAATGGGAATGTGTGCACAGGTGAGCTCAGGTGAGCCCAGGCGTGTTACAGATCAGTTACAGGTGAGCTCAGCTGTGTTACAGGTGTGTTACAGGTGTGGTGTTCCAACCCCAATAAAGCCCCTCCCACACCTGTCCCACTCCTCTAACCCACCCTAGACCCCAGGTAACCCCACCTGAGCACACCTGGAGCCCAGGTAACCCCACCTGGAGCCCAGGTAACCCCACCCGAGCCCACCTGGAGCCCAGGTAACCCCACCCGAGCCCACCTGGAGCCCAGGTAACCCCACCCGAGCACACCTGAGCTCACCTGAGCACACCTGGGTGTCCCAAACCACCTCAGCCAGGTGTGCCGACCCCCCTAAAGCCCCTCCCACACCTGTCCCACCCCTCTAACCCATCCTACACCCAGCTGGAGCCCAGGTAACCCCACCTGAGCACACCTGGAGCCCAGGTAACCCCACCTGGAGCCCAGGTAACCCCACCTGAGCACACCTGGGCTCACCTGGAAGCTTCCAAACCACCTCAGCCAGGTGTGCCGACCCCCCTAAAGCCCCTCCCACACCTGTCCCACCCCTCTAACCCATCCTACACCCAGCTGGAGCCCAGGTAACCCCACCTGAGCACACCTGGAGCCCAGGTAACCCCACCTG